ATCATCAGCAGCAGCAGCATCATCACCATCATCATCATCATCATCATCATCATCATCATCATCATCATCATCATCATCATCATCATCTTCATCTTCATCTTCATCTTCATCTTCATCAGCAGCAGCAGCAGCAGCATCATCATCCTCTCGAGGTTGCCCGTGTTCCTTTGTTTTCGCAGCATGGCTCGACGTCGGAACTGTCTCGTTGTCATTCAGGTCGTTAAGTTTGTCGTTTGCGGTTTTGCGGTGCTGCCCAGACGCCAATTTGGAGGATGTGCGAATAAGTTGGTGCTTCGCGATTTTGCTTTCTTTCTCTAAACGATTCTGCTGGAAACAAAATGGTGGCCTGTTCATCGGCGTGTCCTCCAGAGGCACTTTCGTGCCCAACGTGTGGCATCGATGGGCGGGCAAGGACACGACTTGGGCGAAAGGCGACAGTCTCCCCGAAAGTTCACGACGCCAAGAGGTTTAATTGTCGGCTGAGAGACCTCTCCGAGCAGCAGTTCGTGGCACTCGCCAGCAGGCAGATGTTATGAAAGTACTGACTGCCGAGAAAACACGTATCGACGCCTCTGTGCCTCCACATGGTACCACGCATCCTCACAACTCTCGTCCCAAATCACGCCCATGATGAGTCAAGATACGAAGAATCGGGTTACTATCGAGGTACCACCTCACCGCTGGGACACCATGATAACCAAGGCCCATGTGGCATCCAGTCGCCCCACAGTCACCGAGCGCATTCCACTACTCGCAAAGTGCCCACTCGCAAACGTCCGAAGAAAAACAGATCTTCCTCTACGTAATTGATCGTAACACAGCGGACGAGGTTGTGGTACCCGATGTTCCTGGATCAGGAGTGACACAAAAACACACAGACACAATGAATCGTCGATTCCCCAGAAAACATGGGAAAGTATGGGAGGGAGGAAAAAACATCCGGACCAGGCAATTGGCGTTTACTAAACGGCTTTGGGCGTTTACTAAACAGCCTTGCCCTGTTCGATTCCTTCTTTGGGCGCGTTTACTAAACGGCCTCGCGTGTCGGGGTGATTATGATGGGTGTGGATGTTTGAGTTCTATTGGAGTCCACGAAGATCGAAGAAGGAAAAAACGGCATAAGCAGAAAATTGTGGCGCTCCGCGCAGATTTCTTGGATCCGCGCTGGGCCCCAGCGGCTCCTCCCGCGCCGACCCTGGCGCGATCCGCGCGCCAGGGAGGGGGGTCCAGCGCAGATCCAAGAAATCCTCGCGGAGCGCCAAAAGTCTATGTTTATGGCGTTTTGCTTCTTCCATACGTGCTCTTTGCCTCTCCTCGCGGGCACGGTGAGTGCAGCGGCGGGGCGGGAGCCGCCTGCCCAGACAGCCCAGTGGAATCACGGATAGCCGCCGAAGCCGCTGAACATGATGGATTCCCGTCATGCAGAGTCGAAGGTACTGGCCCACAGTTATCATGAGGATACCGCAGTGGACTCCAAGGTTCGAGATCGTGCAAACTTGAAGGCAGAAAATTGCGGCAGACCGCCCTGTGGCAGCTCAGCCGATGCCCAAGCTGGCAGCTGCAACTGATCCGGTGGCGGATGGCCGCATCAGCCTTCCCTCGGGGGCCCCCAAACGGTGCGGTGACCACACCGTGCGGTGAGTCGGTGGGGGTTCGGGGTCACCGCACGGTTTTGGGACTCGGGCCGTTCTCCGAGGACGTCTCGGGCGACAGGGGCCTCTGGGGTCCCAAAACCGTGCGGTGACGGAGCGTGCGGTGATGTCTTGCGGGATTTCGAGGTCACCGCACGGTCTGTCACCGCACCGTTTCGGGACTCCGAATTCCCTCCCCATCCGGCCCGAGGAGGCCACGATCGCCTCGTCGCATTTCCTGCAGCTCCTCACGCGGGCCGGAGCCCACCCGCCCCGGCCGACGCCGCAGCCACGCCCGGCTTGGCGGATGGGGGCGGGCATGAGCCCTCCTGCAGCTCCTGCGCGGTGGGGGGCCAGCCCGGCGGGAAGACCCCCGCTGTCGCGGCCGACGAAGCTCTGGGTGCGCAGCGTGTAGCGGAGGCTGTGCTCCGTGCGATGCGCGGCGGTGGAAGATGGTCGTTGGACCAGGAGTCGGTTCTGGTGTGGTCCCCCCTGGCGTCTGGGAGATTGGAGAGGCCACTGGGCACGACGGTGTCTCTGCAACCTTGGCAGGCGTTGCGGGAGAGATGGGCGTCCCTCCAGGCGTCGACTCTCCCGCGATCTGGGTGCTGCCGGTGCCAAATGGAGTTATGATGGTCCAGCCTACTTTAGCCTTGATCACCAGAAAGAATTCCGAGCACCAAAAAAGTACCGAAACTCGAGGGTTTTCATGCGTCGGGCCCTGGGAGACACTTGTTCGACACTGTTTCGACACTCTTTCGACACTTTTTTCCAGGTGCTCGAAATCATTTCTGGGATGTGGTCCGTAAGTACGATGGGAGCAACATAACACTGGAGGTCATGACTGGTGTCTCCTCCTCTTTCCGCCCAGCCCCACTTCGCAAAAGAAGTCCCACAGCGGAGTCCTCGTAGTTCTGTCCTTTGCCGCTGCCTGTTGCCATCATCGTCTGGCAGTGCCCCATCGCTGCTGCGGCCGCTACGGCTGACGATGCTGCCGTTGATGCTTGCGCTGGAGGCGGCTGTGTAACTGGCGCAACCGCTGGCGCTGCTGCAGGGGGGGGGTCCACAGGCGGCGGAACCGTCGCACATCCCGCTGCGAAGGGGCCTGAAGACGGTGCCGTCGCTGGGGGCCCCACAATCTTTTGTAGGCAGCGTCGCAGGCGTGCACAGACTCATCATTGTTGGTTCAGAGGGCGACGGACCAGCCAGGTGCGAGGAACCGAACACCACGGGGCCTGTCTGGCCGACCCACGCAGTCGGCGCAGCGGTTGCACGGGCGGGAGTTGCAGGCTGCGGCGGTGGAAACGGCTGCGGTGATGCAGGCATCATGTTTGGCATCGTTCCTTGCGCCATGGTGAAGCCCATCATCTGTTGTACGAAGCT